CACCACGGAGACTTTGAAGAAAAAGTCCATTGGAGTCTACGCCAAAGAAATCGAGGGTAATGTACTTTGTTAGCATCTCATTTGTAGTACAAATCCAAATTTATTTTCTCATGTAACTTGGGTGTATATGCAGGGAACTTCAACATGTAAAGGAAAGAGATTGAGAGCTAGATGAAGTAATATAGAAGAGACAATTCCTGATTTTGTGGCATCTAAACAGCAATATTCCATGTAGACGCCTTTCTCATATTTACAACTCTTATTGGTTAGTACTTTGCGTTTATTATGATTGTTAGTTTGCACTTTTATTGACGTTGTTCTCTAATGCAAGACGGTGCCGTCAGTCATGTATTTACACAACACTTGCTATCATCGAATTTGATCCCGCCACCATCAACAAATGTTGAATTCAATGCTCAAGGTGAAGAAAAGTTTAAATCATTGCATTAAGTTACATTTGTTTGTAAGCACTTACTAATTTCAATATTGTCCTAGTTACGATAGGTCATTCATTTTCATGTTACTATCCACATTTACCACATCTAGGTGATCCAAACTTATAAATTGGTCAGCTGCAGTTCATTTATTAACACGACGGGCAGTTCATATCGTAAGTTTTACAAATTGGGTTGCAAGATATAGTGTAGGTAACGAGCAGTTAGTTTTACTATTTCCTATTTTTTTCTTCATTTTATTAACCTTTCATATTTCTTCCCTACTTTGTAGAAGATGCTCACGATTAATGAAAATAGCAATTCGATCTGCTACTCTGAATCGGTGGGAATTGAGTAGTTGTTTGTACAATTATGTTTATTATATATGTAGTTTCTTAAACAATGACTTGTCAGACTAAGTGGTATGATTTGTGTTCATCATATAGGGCCAATGAACTTTGTTCTTATTTTTGTAGTATTTATGGTATCGAAAATATAGTTATCATTATCTTCTGTTAGTGCATTAATAGATAACAAATAAACATAAATTGCAATACACAGAAATTACACTTATTTCAGATGAAAAAATACATAGTTACATCATTTATATGTTCCAGTACAAACATAATTTAATTAACCCGTTGAATGCAATATGACTAATCAAGACATCTCTTTTGCTTTCCAGTTTCCTCCTTAATTTCCTTTTCCCTTGCGGAAAGTGACTTTCAAGGTAATCTGTGTGTCTCATTTGTAGAATATTCAAGTAAGACTTTTGAACATGCTTGGCAAATCTTCAACTTCCTCATTTCCCGCAACATTCAGCGCTTCATTAATGGTACTAGATTCCACGTTAACTTTCCCTGTTTGACCTATTCAAAAAATTCAAATTTATTACTGTATGTGTTGAATAATCGCCCTTTGTCACACGTTTGCCTTTCAACCTCAAAACATTTCTGAAATTCATGTGCACACCATGGGCAACGACGTTTTCTCTGACGTTTACCCAAAAAATGCCCATTGTTTCTACAATTATGACAAATTCTAGCATTCCTTCCTTTCATATCCTTAGATGGGAAACAAGCACATAAATCAATTATACAAACCATTTTATGAACCCCAAACAGTTCAGTAAAATATACAGCATGTGAAATAATTTTTGCAAATAAACTTCTCCATTACTGAATGTTATCTACCCAAATTAGTACCAGAATATCCAAATCATCCTACGCTAATATTTTTAACAAATCAAATTGACATGAAAACTTTGGTAGTGGTTTTGCAGTGGGAGAAGTGAACAACTTGCAAGACCAGTGCAAAAGTGTAAGCCTTCACATTTTATTGTACATTGCAAGACCAGTGCAAAAGTACTTACTGTGGGTGTATAGTGGACTTAGATGTGTTCTTCAATAATATTTGACAGTGGTGGAAGTTCAAAGCATAGCGCGCTTCTTTACGCGTAGGTTTGCAGCTTCTGTTCTTCATTGATTTTTTGCGCCAGCCGAAAGTGGAAATCAGTTCGATGGTATCATCACACTGTCATGACGAAAAGAAATTAGAGGTGGTAATGTAAAGGTTTGGAGGGTTTCAATTTAGGGGAAAGTGTAAGCCTTCACATTTTATTGTGGTGTTCTCCTATTCTTTTTATATTCTTTAGTGGTGGCTTGTGCCGGTTGGTGAAGGAGCAAACTTTGGTAGTGGTTTTGCAGTGGGAGAAGTGAACAGTTGGTCTTGTTGATGTTCAACGTCGGCGTAAAATGTTTTGTTTTAGAGGTGCTGACAAAAAGTGGAGATGTCTCCGGCAATGTTATCTCACTGTTGGAAATTTTTTTGGATGATGTATCTCAATTTGGGGCAACAAAGACGCGGTGGTGGGTTTGCATCTGGGTCATTTCCTTTCTATCTTCTTTTTCTTTTTGTTGCCACATAAGCCTATAATTGTCGTGTGAAGGAAGGGCCTATACACCAAGTGTAATTGTTTACTCATTTCTTTTATGAAAGTTGTGTTTTGTTAGTAAGATTTGGATAGTTTCTTTACTTGAGGTGGAGACTTCAGTGGATGAGATAGTAATTTTGTTCAAATCCTTGTATCTAGCGTTATTCTTGTACAAACTTGGTTAAAATATTCCAGACCATCCATATTTGGTAGAGACCAAAGGAGATATAGGTACTTCTTGCCGAAACTGGAGAAAAATATTCGATCTTTATTATTGCTATTATTTCTACTGTTATCTTTGAATCTGTGTTATTTGTCCTTCATCTACAACTATGTTTCTCTATTTGCGATATTTGTTGTGGTGTTGATGGTTGGGGTGGTTGGTGGGTTTTCGTGATTTTTGCTGTTAGTGTGATTGTTTTGCAGTTGTATATGGTGGTTGTTGTTGGTGGTCGTGTTGGTACGACAGTATTGATGGTGGTGGCCATTTATATGTTAAATGTGACTTACTATGACTAAATATGCGTTAATTGTGACCGTCTGTAACTAGATTTATCTTAATTATGACTGTATGTAGTCATAGATAGCACAGGTCTGGCCACAAGCAATAACAACTTACCAGTAAATTTTGCTACCACCTCATCACAATCACCCCACCGCCACCACACATATGAACTCCAATGTATTATTATCATCTGCAATGCACCATTACTGCCACCATGCAAATCTGTAAACACAGTTGTCACCTCATCACCACCACCACTTAGGTTAAGTTCAACGTTCCAACATCACATGGAATGCACCGTCATCATCAATGTACAACCACCTCTTCATAAGGGATCTCAATATGAATACTTTCATTTTATGTTTGTAGAGAGAGATAGAATTCATATTTACAGAGAGAAAGTTGTAATTAGAGAGACGGAGTATTGCTTATATATATCATTGCAATTGAAGGATGGGAATGGTGTGGGTGTGGGTGTGGGTATGGGTGTGGGGGTTAGGAGGGTGCAGCAAATATTATCTTATTATTACATATATTATTAGATATTAATATGTTCGAATTAGCAGTTATTTATAAAATTATTTTATAAAATTTTTATATATTAAATATGATTTTTATAAGTGGAAATTACACCACACCCTACCTTAAAAATTCAACATTCTAAAATCAAGTGGAAAGTTTCATAATTCAAAAATCGGAATTTTTTTATATTAATTATTAAATAAACTATTAAAATTAGGAAAATATCAAAACCCTACCCACTATCCAAACCCCATAAATCTCCTCCCTCTCCCTCGTTCTCCCTCCCTTCTCCCTCTTCTCTTCGACGCCACCGAATAGCCACTGTAAGTAGCAAACCATAAACATTCGTTGGAGACCACCAAAACACCACCTCCTGCAAGATGGCACACCCTTATTTACCATAGATTCTCGCCCAGATCGTGACATTTGCAGACAGATTCAATCAATCTGGACAATAATTTTGTATCGGCGCTATCATTGGGGTCAACTTCGCCACGAAGGTAGTTGTGGGGTAACTAATTTTTTGTACAGCATCAAGGGCAGGCTTGACAACTTTCAGGTAATTGGACAAGGTAAGGATGATTTTGGTTTTGTTTATTGGAGTCGTGGTAATGGCTGGTGGCGAAGCGTATTGTGATGGTGATGGTGGCAGCGATGGTGTGGAGATGGCGGCGACGGTGAGGTGGTGTGATGATGGCGGTTGTGGGATGCTAGCAGTTTTGGATTCGATTTGTTGGTGGTGTTTGGGCAATGGTGGTTGTGATGTTGGCTTTCGTGGTGGTGGTGGCAGTGGTTGTCATTTCTATTGTGGCTCTGATTTTGGATCTATTTTGCGGTGCCGTCACAGTGGTGGTGAAGTAGTGGTAGTTTTTTTGGTAGTCACAATTTGGCATTAGCAGTAGTGGTCACAATCTAGGTGGTGCAGGTAGCGATGGATGACAAGAGATCTAGGAAATTTGGGTCCGATATGTGGTCGTGACAGTGGCGATTACTGTAATAAATTCTTTTCTTGGTTGTGGATCTGACATCGACAATGTGATGGTGTTTTTCTACGATAGGTTGATTTGTTTGAGGTGGTGGTGGTGAGATAGTGGTCGCAAGTGTTGATGGTGGTCACAAATTATTTGATTAACTGTGACCAATAAAAAATTATAATTGTGATCAAGAAATAATGTGTAATTAAAAAATTGTTAAACTGTAATCGATAATTTGATGATTTGTGACTGTATAATAAGTTGTGACTTGTATTTTTGTGATTAGTGACTAATAAATAAATCGCGACTTATAAATTTTTTGATTTATGACCAATGAACAAATTGTGACCTATAAAATTTTTGAATTGTGATCGTAAAATAATTTTTGACATAAAATTTCTGATATGTGACCAAAAAATAACAATTAACGGATTAAATCATTAATTTGTGATCAAATTATATAGATCTGTAACCTAAATATATTTAATTAGTTAATTGAATCATAAATAAATTTTAATAAAAATTTAATTTTTAAAATTTAAAATTTATTTTTTTTAAAATTAAAATGTGTGATACTTATGAAATTTCCCCTTTTTATATAATCGAGCAACTCTTTATTTCCACCTTCGCTAACCTGAGAGGCCCAACCAAGACCAAATATGCCCACAAAAATTCCCCATTTTTTTCATCGATTGTCCTCTGTGCGCATCATTTCAGACCACACAACAGAAAGCACTAGAGAACTGAAGAAGAAAGAGTAACGATGTCTAAACAGCAAACACGGTCATCCCCCGTAACAGGTCAAAATATATGAATTAAAATACTCTGTTTACTTTCCCTCAATTTCCCGTGAATGCTCCTGCACAAAGGAATAGCTGGCTAAAAGAATCCTTGTTTGATTTTCTATTTTGAATTAATTTATTACACTCCTGAGGCGAAAACCAATTTGCCGCTGTTTTGATCCTAAACTCCTCAAATAACCCGACGTTTCGTCTGGTGGCACAGCCCGATTGCTTGATTCGTCCCACGGTGCCTGCGCGTTTCTTTGGTACGTATAACACGAAACTGGATTTAGTTTTTTTGATGGAAAATTTTCGCTGTAATCCCATTATATTTGTTCCTATTTTTCGATTTGAAGCCCTTTACTGATGGGTTTTTGTGTGTTGTCCATGCTTCATGCTTGGAAGTCGTTATGGATATTTTTTAGAAAATAAAATTATTATTATGTGGAAGCATGAGAACTAGAATTAGAAGTATGTAGTAGTAGGCACACTGTTATCAGATATTTGGTATGGAATAGGAGTGAACGTGCTCTATTTTGAGTGTTCATGGAAAATTTTCATACCAAACCACTTAAAATGGTTTGGAATTTTTCCAAATCAAATCAAACCACTTTTTTCGTTTTGGTTCGATTTAAAATCACAGCTAAGCAAACAAAAAAAAATATATATATTGAAAAAGTTAAATCATAAATATTAATCTAAAATCTCACATGAGAACATAAATGTTAGTATCATTACGAATATTACGAACTTTTAATCATTACAATGCAATAATACGGTAGAAACTTTAGTTCTAACCTTTAAATGGATACTGGCGCAATATCTCCAGTTGTAACACATGATTCAGTCTTTACATGAAAATAAGAATATAGCAAATGTATTTATTAATTATAATTAAATGATATAAAATAACTAATAAAAGAAAATAAATAGAAAGATCAATTACAATGGTACCGTCTACAATTTTCTCAGAATCATCCAATACTTCTACCTCATTCAAATATTGACAAATCACTATTGACTCATTATTACGTGACCAACTCTTAGTGAAGAGCACAGCCCCAACCATCTATGTACTCAACAAACTCCTAAATGAATCGAGAATACGATCACTAATAGAGAATGCAAATTTAGAAGCAACTGTTAGTACTTGAATGGCTAACATATCTTTGACAATTTGGAAGACAATCTTGTATTTATTTGCATTCAATTTCCACCGAAGTAATATGTGGAAATGTTCATTGGTCAAATCTTCATAACGATCATTTAAGTAATTCACCAAATCATTTTTTCTGCTTAAGCTTCCCAAATAAGAAGGTCCTCCAAGGAATAGGCATAGAAAGAATGTCTAGATTTAAAAATTGAGGAAATGGATTTGGAAACGCCCAAAGTAGATTGTGATTGACTTGCACTACCAGATTGGTAGATGGATAATTTGGTTTAGTTTAATTAATTTATTGGGATGGATAATTGCCTAATTAGGTAATGAGTTTAATTGGTATTGGGTTTAATTGAATTGGGTCTAATATGGATGTGCCTTTTTAATTGGAACGTGCCTAGTTTTAATTAGGTTGGATAAAATTTAAAATACTTTATTTTTTATTTTTTTAATCTTTATTTATTTTGTAAACAGTTTTATGGTTTGTAACTGTTTGCAAAAAAATTGAAACATAAACAACCTCCTTGGAAGCGGATTGGTTCAATTCAAAATCTAAACTTTAACGGATCCAAGTGGATCCAAACCAATGGTTTTGAAAAAGTGATTTTGGATCAATTTTGTGATTTTATGGTTTCATTGTTAAGCCCTAGTATTGAATGATATTTTGTAGCTGTTTGTACTAACAAAGTTTTAGCTCTTTTGTTAATTCCATTCTGTCTAATAAAATTTGTGCACGCTATTGGGTCCTTGTCATTTAAGGATGAATTTGTTTGATTTTCGTAATGTTGAATGACTTGGACTCTTGGAGGCTTTGGGTAGATTGATTTTCTACAAGTGTAAACCTTTGAATTACTTCTTTAAATGAGTTTTTCAAAAGTAAAATTGTCGAAAGTTCACAATTTATAGACTACTTCCCTCAAATATAAGAAAAGGAGGGAAGAATAGAAACGGAAGTTCCCATCCTAGGCTTCTCCAACCCTTTTAAGTTTTGTAGCAAATTGGTCCTAAAGGGGTGGAGGGGATTGGGGAAACCATAAGGGGAAGGTGCACGTGGAGGGTGCAAGGGGTTGGAGGAGCTGGATGGCGGGTATGGATCATGGTTGGGGGGTTGGCAGGGATAATGGGTTTTTATTTTTTTCTTTTCTTTCACATTCTTTTGTTCATTTTTTTTTTTATTGAAATTAAGCCTTTACCTATTTTATCCTTCTTCGACAAGTTAGACAGCTTTTTAACAGTCCAGTGAAATTTTGCACAAGGATCAAATTGGTACAAACTTGAAAGGTAGTGAACGATGCTTGCAAAGGAATAGGTTGTGGGGACCATCTTGTTACATTGGGAATAGGTTAGGTATCTCCATCGCTATTTTTCCAAAAGAGAGAAGAAATGATTTAGTTAATTTTTGTTATTTATTTATGTAATGCGAGAATTCTTTAAAGTAGAAGCACAACTCCAAGGATCCCAAGGTAAGAAATGCATGCGCAGCTACGGACACGTGTGTTATGTATGTAGTAACACATTTAAAAATTTTGTTTGTTAATAACTATTTTCAATTCCATTGCTGTACGTATTTCATTAACTTAATATATTTCAGCAGATTTTATTCAAAATGCTTCCTAAAACTGCTCAAATCCGTCTGATGAGTTCACACCCTGAAGTATATGATCCATGCGATGATTCGTTTGCATTGGTTGATGCACTTCTAGCAGATAGAGCCAACTTATTAGAGCATCGTCCTTCAATTTGCATGGAAGTTGGTTGTGGTAGTGGATATGTTATTACTTCTCTAGCACTTATGCTTGGGAAAGACAGTTCTGGTTGCCACTTCATTGCGACGGACATTAACCCTCATGCTGTTTGTGTGACTCATAAAACAATGGAAGCGCATGGGTGTTATGCAGAGTTGGTAATAACTGACATTGCATCTGGGTTAGAGACACGTTTGGCTGGATCGGTAGATGTGATGGTTGTAAATCCTCCTTACGTGCCAACACCAGAATACGAAGTTGGTCAGTTTGGTATTGCATCTGCATGGGCTGGAGGTGAGAATGGCCGGAGTGTAATTGATAAGATATTGCATGTTGCTGACGACCTTTTATCAGATAAGGGCTGGTTATACTTGGTTACACTCGCTGTTAATAACCCCTCTGGAATATGTCTTCAGATGAGGAAGAAGGGTTATGCTTCTCGAATTGTTCTCCAGAGATCTACAGAAGAGGAGAGCCTCCACATTATTAAGTTTTGGCGAGATTTGGATATTCAGTTGGAGGTCAGTGAATGTACAGCATTGAACAAAACAGACCATGGAGTGATATTGAACTCTCTACTTTCACGAGTTCCTCGATTACCATTCTGGATTCGTGATAACTGCGGTAGTCACTAGTGTATTCAAGGTGGAGGGGTTCATCGCCCAGATGATAATTGCTTATCTTCATTCTTATTTGTACTTCTGTGTTTCCTTTCGCATAATATAAATAGAAACTTGATAAAGCACAGGTGAAATTTTCTTTTGTTCCTCATAAGTCAGATTAACATCTCTCTCTTTTTTCATGTCAGGATGATTTATAATGTTCTTACTGGATTTCTTGCTTTCTACCATGGAGAGATTACCGATGCTTTTCAGGAAGGTAGAAGCAGAGGTAGCCTTGAATTTTCCCCCTTCCTATCACTTGCGCGTAGAAAAGTGAACTCGTAAGAACTCGATTTACTACAAAATAATCATTCTTCTTTGAAGTAAGAGCGTATTATACTGTGAGAGTCAAAATGCCAAGGAATGCTGCATTAACATTTTAATGTAATGACACTGATATAACATGATTTTGTTGGCCATTTTAGGTTTCTGCTCACGCAAATGAAGTGAGAGAGAATCCTAGATTGGCATTATTCCCTTTGGAAGTCTTCTTAGGTAAAGTTTGTGTTTAATCTTATCACCGGAGCAGATGATATTACACGAGACTTTCGTCATTTATCGATTGATTATAATGGTTTTTCGTTCTATATATGCTTGATTGTAACAGTGCAAATGATGTTATTGTGGTTTCCTTACACCGTATTATTGTGTGGGCATGTCTCGTCTAAGTTGTTTCCGTCTAAGTTGTTTCCAGATTACAATGTGAAACTTCAAAGTAGATATGCAGAACTCAGCAGTCTGGATTTGGTAGCAACATTAAGTGAATATGAGCTTTATATATTGCTCAAGAAAGATGAAGATTTTGTTATATTTTATCTTGCTATTCCAGTAACCCATTTTAGTTAAGCAGCAAGAAAAGGTCGCGTGCCATTCCCATTTACCGTCGTGTTGAGGTCTTGTTGACATAAGATGAGTGTAATATTGTATAGATTGTTGGTGTGCTATGTTTAACTAGTCCACCCAAATGACCTGCACCAACAAAGCCCAGTTACTAGCTTAGTGTCACGGACTTAGTTTTGTTACACCCCTACAATTAGAACCATGCGGCTTTAATGTTCGACAATTCCCGTCCCTCACGAGAAAATGTTAAGTTAGTCTTTCTACGCTCACAAATAATTTAACCAATGAGGTTAAATTATAACCAATTTGAGAAGAGATTTTTGAAGTAAGGAATATATGAAAAATAAGTAAGGTTGGGAAAACTTTCTTTTTATAAATGAAAGGGAAAACTTTACAATCTCTCTAAGGTATGGAACTCACTTCACTTTACATGATTTACAAATAAGGCTTTTTTTTCTATTTATAGGCAAAATTAAGCAAGTTGTCTTCAAATCAATGAACAAGATTAATTTGATCCAAAGGTCCCCATTGGTGGCAAGTTGTCTTAAACCTTCTTTGATCAAGTTGCATTCAACTTTACAACTCATGCTAGTTGGCATCAAGCGGACATTTTCTACAAATTTCCTTGCAAATGGATATGTTATTTTCATAGTGTCAACTCGTAGTTAGCTTGCATCTTGATATTATCTTGCAAGTGGGCCAAGTAACACAAGTGGCACAGGTTGCACAAGTTGACAAGTTGTGCAAGTTGTCCACTTGCATCTTCTAAAATATTCGATTGCAAGTCCTTGTATTTTTCCTTTCAAAATGGTTGGTTCGGGACTTAGAAAAGCGTCATCATTGTGCTGGAAAATAGTTCGTTTCAAGCTGCAATTTGCCCAAAACAAGCTGTCTGCATCCTTGCCTGCAGCGCTTATGTTTTGCCCAATACAGGTTACCTGCGTCTGCTGCCTGCATCCCTTAATGCAAGCTGCCTGCGTCTGCTGTTTGAATCTGCCTACTTTTCTTACCGCAAGCTGTTCCGTCCTGCTGAAGCGTGCTGTCCATGCTGTTTTGAGGTTGCTACCGGGATGGATCGGCCGCAACCGCGGGGGACGTAAGTTTAGGCTCACTAGTATGGTGTAACAAAACCTAGATTTATTTTGGAACCCAATACGGTCGGTTAAACTCCATGTAGCTCTTTCATGTCCAACATTATGAACTTGAGATTTGCTTTCCATTGTGGACTATTTAATGAAATTTTTAAGTGAGATGTTTTTTACAATATAGTTTAACAAAAATTTGGATGTGTTTCGCCACTAGTAACTAATATTGGGACTATAACGATACACTTTCAGTATCTCTTTTAGTCCCTTGTTCAATTCCCCTTGAAGTAGAGGGAGCCTTCTTTTTCGGTGGGAACGCGATCAATCAATGAAGGGAGAGAACTTTCAAAAGGAAGAAAAAAAGAAGTATGAGCTTATCTGTCGACAATAGGGAAGAGGTCTATTGATTCTTCATCCCGAATAATGAATACTCCCTTTCCTCTCGTTTACTTTCTTGGTTTTGTTAAGGTAAAGGAAGCTAACAATTGGGATGAGTTTTGAAGGAAGAGTGAGATACCTCACTGTTAGAAAGACACCAAAATAGAATGGGATTGTAGTTCTCTTCTTGATTATCATCGCGAAAGTGAAAGTTGATACCAACATCCTCTTGCTCTTTTCCAAAAATTAATGAGAATCAACCTAGATTGCAAACCAAAAGTACGAGTTACCCCTTAAGTTTTAGGTTTAGATCGACGAGAACTTTTATTCCTTAATGCATCTACTAAGTCAATTTTCACTTCCACCCTGAAATAAAGACACAATGAGCTTTATTCTTGTTGAATTTAAAATTGATAATTTGAAATCATGTTTTATTTGGTTCATTTTTACTCATACAATTTGAGAAACTCACAAATAGTATTTAATTATTCATTACTCATTTCTATTTATTTATAATTTAAAGGAACTTTTCAAATATGCTTGTGTACGAAAATAAAATCTAATAGATTAGTGATTATAAATCCAAACTTTGAACGAAATACTTAAAGAGCACCGCCGGTCTCATAGTTTCAGTTGAGAGATGTCAATTATGATATGTACACAAAAGAAAGATCGGATATATGTGTGTGTGTATTGATAATTAATGTTGATGACAAAACAAAGCATAAATATTTGGAAATAAGTGCTAATTAATATATGGTTGAGGTCAAGAACGCGGGAAAATGTGGAATTAGGAAAAAAAAATGTAGATAAATTAATTAATAACATAAAAAATTGCATTCTCTAAACAAGTGGAGAAAAATTCAGAAATTGAACGGCTACTCTCTCTCGTGAAATATGTACGTTGTTGGACTACATTGTTGTGTTTCTTTTGTCAATCACAAAAAATTGTATATTAAATTGATTGTTTGGAAATATTACTACAAAATTGCTTATTACATATTTAGAGCCTGTTTGTCTTCCATTATGGGAGAAAATAGAGTTTTGAATAGTATTTTTTTGATAATGTGTGATTGAAATTTAAAGAAACTTTATTGATTTGTGTGTAGAATATTTTATTGTGTGAATATATAGTGAAAAATGTTACTGTATCAAACAATTTAATTTATTAAATAATGACAAACAAGAAAAAGTTTTTGAATAGTGTATTGATGGAAAATGTGTGGTTAAAAAATAAGAAAAAATTTTGGATTTGCGTAATATTATTTTATTGAAAAATATATGGTTAAAATGATTTCAAATCACTGTTTAAGAATGTATTTTTGGAAGAATGTGGATCAAACGGGATATTACTTGACTAAACATTAATAAATTTTTCATAAATGATACTTCTTTTTTGTCGTGGTGGAGCAGGTGGTGTCATGTGAGATCCATTGGCCCACAAATCTTAGATTTTTCTTTTTTAACTTTTTTCCGAAATTTAAGTTTTTATTCATTCCTTAATTGTTAAAATTCAAAATCTAATAATAATAATAATAATAATAATAATAATAATAAGATTTTAGTTCACAAAGAAATTATTATTATCCAAGACCGTACTTTGGTAAAGAAATTTTGCAGACACTCCTTGACTAATTTGCATAGACAAAGAAAATTGTAATTTGTGCATTTATATGATTGGTGTTCACACAGTAGAAGAAACTGGAATGTTTGGCTTGCCAGTGTTCCATCCTATAAAATCTATTGAAATTAATTTTAGTTAAAATTTAACCAATAGATTCATACTTAAAATGATAAATAATAATAAACACATTATATTATAACCTTTTAAAAAGAATCTTTAAATTATATTTCTTGGTTGTATTGATATGTTAAGACACTTTGGATATATTTGGTATTTTAGCAAATCAAAAAGGATAACTTCATTAATTGAAAATTTTCATTAAATACAAATTCCGATTTATCGTATAGGCCGGATAAAGAGCTTTTTGAATGAGTTCAAATTTTGAGCTTCTCTAAAATGTATAAAAAGTCGTATTTCAGAAACTTTAACTAAGCACCCATTATTTTAATCAAAACAACTTTTGTCCTTTAAGAAGTGCTTTTGAGTTTTTTAAATCTCTTTCAAACACATTCAAAACGAGCTAGGTGAAGTTTAGAGAGGTTTGTTAACTTTACCTTAGTTTAGTAACTATATGTAATGTTAGATCGTAGTGAACTCTACGATACTATGTAATACACTTACAAATATAACATAAAAAGGTTTTATACCCTACAGATTCATTTATTCTACCGCATAACGTGCGAAAAAAGTTTATACCCTCCAAATTCAAGTTGAGATTTACTGTCCCATGAATTGTACCCATATATTTTTGAAATATCGACACAAAGTCACCTCTTCTTTCCAAATATGAAGACGTTAAGGTATAAATGGCGTCCTCTCATTTACTAAGAAAAAGTGATGCATCAGAAGCATCGCAAAGATAATAGGGGCAATAAAGAAGACTAAATATATGATCTCTCCAAATTCATAGGGTTCTTCTCTCTGTCATTATTTTTCCTTATATTAGGACCACTGAAGAAAAACCTTTTGCTACATTAAAGGGCGTAGCCCAACTTGTCACTGTGCATGCCTTGGTTTTAAATTTTCTTGGATCTTGTGACATGTTGACATATACTGATGCAGTCTCCATCAACACTCTTTATTTTTATCTTCTTTCTTTTTCATTGCAGAGAATTATAGATTCCAAAACCCTTTTCTTGCTGATGCCTTCTTCCATTCTCTGTTCAACTCTATCATTTAGCTTCTTTTCCTTTTTGGCTCTACACTTCGCTCTCTTCTAGGGTTTTTATTTTCTCTTATAGCACGTGTAATTATAACGGCCTAATCCTAGCATTTCATTTCATTCATAAATTGAAATCTATTTTTTTTCAAGGCTCGAATGCCAAACCCTAAACCCTAATATCGAAGGCTATTATACTTTTATCTTTGTTTCACATTTTCTGTTTTTTCATTTCATCATCATTGTCATCGTCGTCATCATCATCATCATTGTCATCAACGTCATTATAAAAATAATAATAATAATAATAATAATAATAAGATTTTAGTTCACAAAGAAATTATTATTATCCAAGACCGTACTTTGGTAAAGAAATTTTGCAGACACTCCTTGACTAATTTGCATAGACAAAGAAAATTGTAATTTGTGCATTTATATGATTGGTGTTCACACAGTAGAAGAAACTGAATTCATGTTTTAGACACAGGTGCTTATGAACTTAATTTCGAGGCTTAAATCACACGTTAACTATTACTTAATATTATTGTTCACACATTTCATGGAACCCATTACTATTCCTCTTTGTAAACCGTTATAAATTTATCAAACGAAGGCTTAATTACTTTAGAAATATATTTAGCAGTTGCCTAGTGGTTATATAAAAAAAAAAAAAAAATTCATGGAACCCTCCCGCAGAAAACTATTAATTATTGTGAAATGCAGCTGAGTGCATGACATAGGATCCAACAGAGACTAAGGGGTTATTTGACAAAGCTTTTGTTAAAAGTTTTAACAAAGTATGATAAAAGTTGATGTAATGTGTCGTTTAAAGTTCATAAAAGCTGTAAATTCCATGAAATATGTGGTTAAAATTGAAATTTAAGTACCAAATAATTTTTGTGTTGTGTTGTTTAGAAAAATTAACGAAACGGGCATACTATATTAAAATCACGTGACAAGACCAACCTTAACGACTTAGCATGAATGCTAACATATCTTAACCATGGAGTCCACCAAGCCAAGCAAATCGACATCCTTGACATTAGAACTCAAACTCAGTATGTTGAGGTTTCTACCGTGTTTTGTTAAGTACTTCAGTAATCACAGTCACCATAAGACCTAAGTATCAGAATGCCTTTGGCTACTACATCTCTCCCTCTTTTCTAATGGTGGCCGAGCAGTACGACTTGTGTTATTTTGTCGATTGGATGGTGTTCTTCGCTCTAGCTCTAGGATGATTAACTTTTCTATGTCAGCAACAAAGAATCTAGCTTGTTTTTCATCCAATATGAATTTGATTAAATGCATAGAATTCGATTATGATGCGCTTCAGGAATATATGAAAGAATAAGCTGGCAAAAAAATGATTGTATGCGTTATGTATACTTGATCAAACACAGATATTACATTTTTATTCGTATATTAGGTCGTACACAACATCGATGAAGACATTTATATACCCAAAAGCCATTTTAGGAGGTAAATAAAGCTGAGAAAATGGGGAAGAAATCCAATTTCTCATAACTAAAACGCCCCTTCATTGTATTTATTTTGGATATTAATATATAGGTCATCCCAAGCACCCTAACATTGTTAGGGTAAGATCTTGGAAACTCTTACTACCATACCTCAGCGTGAATGGACTCTAATGGGGAAAAAAAAGGAACTATCACTGAATAGGATTCATTGAACATTTAGTTAAAAGTTGATGTCTAGAGATAGATTTCAATAATTTATACATATCAATCAAAGAAATTTATGAAAAATTGAATATATATAGCAAGAAAAAAACATGAAGGGAATAGCAAAATCAGATAATCATCCCATACAACTCGTGCAATTGTCTCGAATTTTACATATTATTAGTAAATCATTAACTATTGGTTTCTGTAAGTTGAACATGGCAATGCAAATGTTGTAATAATGACAGATTTTCAGTGTACCTCTCTCTATATATATATGGAAATAAATATAGTATATATAAAGACATAAGAATGACTTACTGTACCCCACTATCTGCAAAGCTGGAAATAGAATGAATACTTTGTCTCTTCCATGATCCTCTCACTGTGCAACAATTCTTTCGTGGTTAAGAACTATTGCTTTCTTTGCTACCAATTTCCGGCAGTCGGACAGTTTGATTGGCATTTGACCCGAAAGATTTCATCGGAGAGCTAATCAAATGAAGGGTTGGCATCAATGAATTTTGTTGCTGGAAGTGATTAACTTGTCTCAACTCACTCTCCATTGATGCGGTCATAAACGAAGGGATTAATGGAGGGAAATTTAACAACGGTACAGTTGTCACAGATGGGTAGGAATATAGTTGAGAGCTTAAAGGTAAAGCCATGGAAGATGGTGCAGAAATATTGTTGTGGGATTCTTCAGCTCCAAATTGAGATAAAGACAAGTTTGAATTAGTATCCCAATTAAAGTAGGAATTATTTATCGAAGGTGTAGGAAAAAACAACAATCATTTGTCAACTCGTCCACAACGAGGACGGCCACGAATGTTTGGCTTGCCAGTGTTCCATCCTATAAAATCTATTGAAATTAATTTTAGTTAAAATTTAACCAATAGATTCATACTTAAAATGATAAATAATAATAAACACATTATATTATAACCTTTTAAAAAGAATCTTTAAATTATATTTCTTGGTTGTATTGATATGTTAAGACACTTTGGATATATTTGGTATTTTAGCAAATCAAAAAGGATAACTTCATTAATTGAAAATTTTCATTAAATACAAATTCCGATTTATCGTATAGGCCGGATAAAGAGCTTTTTGAATGAGTTCAAATTTTGAGCTTCTCTAAAATGTATAAAAAGTCGTATTTCAGAAACTTTAACTAAGCACCCATTATTTTAATCAAAACAACTTTTGTCCTTTAAGAAGTGCTTTTGAGTTTTTTAAATCTCTTTCAAACACATTCAAAACGAGCTAGGTGAAGTTTAGAGAGGTTTGTTAACTTTATCTTAGTTTAGTAACTATATGTAATGTTAGATCGTAGTGAACTCTACGATTAACATTATTTTAGATTTTTTCTTAATATAATATTGTCCAATACTATGTAATACACTTACAAATATAACATAAAAAGGTTTTATACCCTACAGATTCATTTATTCTACCGCATAACGTGCGAAAAAAGTTTATACCCTCCAAATTCAAGTTGAGATTTACTGTCCCATGAATTGTACCCATATATTTTTGAAATATCGACACAAAGTCACCTCTTCTTTCCAAATATGAAGACGTTAAGGTATAAATGGCGTCCTCTCATTTACTAAGAAAAAGTGATGCATCAGAAGCATCGCAAAGATAATAGGGGCAATAAAGAAGACTAAATATATGATCTCTCCAAATTCATAGGGTTCTTCTCTCTGTCATTATTTTTCCTTATATTAGGACCACTGAAGAAAAACCTTTTGCTACATTAAAGGGCGTAGCCCAACTTGTCACTGTGCATGCCTTGGTTTTAAATTTTCTTGGATCTTGTGACATGTTGACATATACTGATGCAGTCTCCATCAACACTCTTTATTTTTATCTTCTTTCTTTTTCATTGCAGAGAATTATAGATTCCAAAACCCTTTTCTTGCTGATGCCTTCTTCCATTCTCTGTTCAACTCTATCATTTAGCTTCTTTTCCTTTTTGGCTCTACACTTCGCTCTCTTCTAGGGTTTTTATTTTCTCTTATAGCACGTGTAATTATAACGGCCTAATCCTAGCATTTCATTTCATTCATAAATTGAAATCTATTTTTTTTCAAGGCTCGAATGCCAAACCCTAAACCCTAATATCGAAGGCTATTATACTTTTATCTTTGTTTCACATTTTCTGTTTTTTCATTTCATCATCATTGTCATCGTCGTCATCATCATCATCATTGTCATCAACGTCATTATAAAAATAATAATAATAATAATAATAATAATAAGATTTTAGTTCACAAAGAAATTATTATTATCCAAGACCGTACTTTGGTAAAGAAATTTTGCAGACACTCCTTGACTAATTTGCATAGACAAAGAAAATTGTAATTTGTGCATTTATATGATTGGTGTTCACACAGTAGAAGAAACTGAATTCATGTTTTAGACACAGGTGCTTATGAACTTAATTTCGAGGCTTAAATCACACGTTAACTATTACTTAATATTATTGTTCACACATTTCATGGAACCCATTACTATTCCTCTTTGTAAACCGTTATAAATTTATCAAACGAAGGCTTAATTACTTTAGAAATATATTTAGCAGTTGCCTAGTGGTTATATAAAAAAAAAAAAAAAA